ACCATGGATGGATAAAATGAATCTCCAAGGAAGTGCTACACCTGCCCCCATACCTCCTCCCTCACCCCCATCCCAGGCCCCAAGAAGACTTTCCACATCAAGCAGATGTTCACCTGCACATCTGCCAATGTGGTATACTGCATCCGCTGTACCCGTTGTGGCCTCCTCTACATCGGGGAAACCAAGTGGAGGCTCGGGGATAGCTTTGCAGAACACCTACGCTCGGTTCGCAACAAACAACTGCACCTCCCAGTCGCGAACCATTTCAACTCCCCCTCCAATTCCTCAGACGACATGTCCATCCTGGGCCTCCTGTAGTGCCACAACGATGCCACCCGAAGGTTGCAGGAACAGCAACTCATATTCCGCTTGGGAACCCTGCAGCCCAACGGTATCAATGTGGAATTCACAAGCTTCAAAATCTCCCCTCCCCCTACCGCATCCCAAAGCCAGCCCAGCTCGTCCCCGCCTCCCTGACCTGTTCTTCCTCACACCTGTCCCCTCCTCCCACCTCAAGCCGCACCATCTCCTACCTATTAAACTCATCCCGCCCCCTTGACCTGTCCGTCCTCCCTGGACTGACCTATCCCCTCCCTAACTCCCCACCTACACTCACCTTTACTGGCTCCATCCCTGCCTCTTCGACCTGTCTGTTTCCTCTCCACCTATCTTCTCCTCTATCCATCTTCTATCCGCCTCCCCCTCTCTCCCTATTTATTTCAGAACCCCCTTCCCCTCCCCCATTTCTGATGAAGGGTCTAGGTCCGAAACGTCAGCCTTTCTGCTCCTATGATGCTGCTTGGCCTGCTGTGTTCATTCAGCTCTGCACCTTGTTGTCTCGGATTCTCCAGCATCTGCAGTTCCTATTATCTCTGAAATAATGAAAGGCCTGGCTGTCGTTTTCCAATGTTGGGAGACAGGGCATACTGCAACTGTGAGGTATGGATCAATCAAGGATAGTCACCACGGATATTTTTTTTTTGAAGGAAAAACAATCTCTGACGAATTTTATTGAATTTGTAGGAACTAACAAAGTGGAATGAAGGAGATACTTCAGCTGATATGGTCTTTGTGGATTTTAACAAGGTTCCCGACAAGGTCACACTTGGGAGAGTGGGTCAAAAAACAAAATTTACAGAGATCCGTGGCAATAAGAACACTACATTCTAAGCTGATTCAAAGCATCCGGAAACAAAATCTAGTATTGATAGGTTTTTTTTTTAACTGGAAGGCTGTTTCCTACAGCGTTCTGCAGGGTTCACACTGGGATCTTAGCTTTTTATGGCGTATGTTGAGAAGGTAGATGTAAATGTAAGGAGTTTGATCAAGAGGTTTGCAAATTTCACAAAACTTGGTCAAATGATTAATAGAAGAGGGTAGGCATCAACTGCAGAAAGATGCAAATAGATTGGTCAGATGGGCAGAATAGTGGCAAATAGAATTCAACCCAAAGACGTGTGGGATGATGCATTGGATGTGGTTGTAAAACGTAAAAAAGAAAATCAGTAATATTGGGTGAATATTGAATGGTGTACGGGACGTTTATTTCTTTACTTTTATGATATTTACTTATTGTCACGTGTATTTTGTTACAAAATGCAATGAAAAGTGTTATATAGTGTAGCCGCTCTCCGGCATCATTTTAAAACAAAGAAAAATAAACCAAGACATAGAACGCCAAGGCAGGACAATATAGAAATAAAGATATTGTCTCAACTTTGCATTCCTTCTTGTTAAAGTGTTCCGCCATGGGCCATGGGGCCAGTGGGCCAGCCACGAGTTCTCACAGCTACGCCGCCATCGCTGGAACAGAAGTCGCCACTCTTCGGCGCCATCTCGCCTCCGCCGACTCCTCCGCCACTATGAGTCTTTGCTGGAAATCACCAATGCAGCTTTGATTGAATTCCATCAGTTCGCTAAAGTACCAGCAGTGGTAGAAATAGCGATTAAAAAGGCAGAAGGCATCGTTTCCTTTATTGGCCAAGGTGTAGAATATAAGAACCGGAAAGTCTTTACAGTGACGATGGTGTAATGATGAATGCCATTGGATAAGTATCAAAAATTGTGGGATTTTGCATTCAATTCCCACACGGCAGCTGGTGCAATTTGAAATGAATAGATAATTCTGCAATCTAGAACTATTCTCAGCATTAGTGACCATGTTATGGAGCATTGGTAATCATAAAAATCCATCCAGTTAATTGACGCCCATTCTTACTCTTGTACATCTTACTCTTATTCTTCTCGCCTGTGACATGAAGTAGACATCCGGAATTGGAAAAATTAGCAGTTGTTTTTGACTGGTGGAAACTCAATGCGTTGATCGGTCTTTTTCTAAACTCGATGACTCAGTTTGGCACATTCTTAACTGCTCCATGAAATGGTCTCGTAAGCCATTACATGAAGAGCAATTAAGGACGACAACCAAAAGCAGGTCTTGATAGTGATGCCCAAATCGTATTGAAGAGTAACGTAACTGTAAAAAATTACTTTTAGGCCGCAACCTGGGTAGATTGCGCTGCTCAGGCAACCTCATTAGAGAAAGGGTTACATTGCACTAGGAGAGGATACAAAGGAGCATTACATTCCCTTTTTCCAGCACCCGGAAATGTAGGTACTTGGAAAAAAGGTTATGTTACGTTGTTCTCTTTTGAATGGACAAAATTGATAGGAACCTGAATAGTTTGAATGTGAAGAACCTGTAAACCTTAACAGTTGAGTGTAATGATTGGAAGATTGGAGATTTAAAGAGATCAGCAGAACGATTAGATGGGTTATGAACAAAAAAAAAATCATTTTCCACAAGAGAATGTTGGAATTTGAATCTCTCTGTATATGCACCTTAAGTGCTGTGCCCTGTAGGGCTATGGACCAAATGCTGGAAAGTTGGACGAGGTAGGTTGGGTTGATTTTCATCTGGCACAGACACAATGGGTCAAGGGCCCCTTCACGCACCAGAAAATGTCAATGACTTTATGAATTTAAGGTGGTCAGAGATTTGAGATCAGACCTCATCTATCATCATTTGTTCCATTAAATGAAGACTCAAAGGCTTGACTTTTGGATGGGAGTGACTGCAGATTTCGCAGGTAACAGATCGTCCACATGTACAATAGAATCATACACTTTGCCAATGTTACAACTAGAAATCACTGCTTTTATTGCTCCTTCATGGGATATGGGAATTGCTAGATGTGCCACATCTTTGTTCATTCTTAATTGCCCTGGTGAAGATGGTGGTAAATTGCATTCTTGAACAGTTGATGTTTGTGTGGTGTGGGAACAACCACATTGCTGTTAGAACGTGATTTCAACGATTTTCAACTAATGACAATGAAGCTAAGGTGATATGGATCCATTCAGGATTTTTTTGGAGTCTTGGAGTGGAAATTACAGGTGGTGGTGCTGCCATATATCTGCTTCCATTGTCCTTCCAGGTGGTGGATTGCAAAAGTTTGGCAGGGCATGAAACCGTGAGTCAATTTCTTTGTAAGTGGGCATATTGCAACATAACTGTTCCTCTACAAACCCCCACTCGCAATAAATAGGGGACTCTTTGCCACAGAGCTAAATTCTAAAGCTTTTGGAACTACTTTAGTTCTATTAGTTTCTGAAAGATCATGCACACGCCGACAAACAGCCTCTTCTTTGCTTTCTGCTTTCCCATTCTGTCAGTTGTGGGTGACCCTGGTAAGTATTCGGTCACAAATGATGAATTTTTGTTGCTGTAAATTTCCAGAAATGTCAGTTCCCTTTTATAGAGCAGAATGAATTGTTCTAATATTAGTTGCTGCCCGGGTGTAAGGGATATTAAACAGGTTCTATGACATATGTAGGTTACTAAAGAATATTATACTATTGTAATAAATCACTCAATTGTTGTTCTTATATCATTAAACATTGAAAGATATCATTGAATGCATGATGCTGCACTTTAATGGAAATGATATTTGTTAGATTGCTAATATATGACTTGTAATGCATGGCAGTATATGAACAGTTTTGTTTGCATTTTTGAACATTAGGTTTTATTCCAATTTAATAAACCCATTCTAGTATTGTTAGTAATATGTGGAATAAAACTTTATCATAAGTGTCATAAAATCATTTTTTTCTGCTTTGAACTTATTACATCATTTGAACTTGCATTTCATGTGCTCATCTTATTAGAGTGTTCGAAAATGAATTATTAAAGTGCGATCATTATGTTAAATCAATTGTAAAATAAACAAGTAATCAGTAATTACACAAATCTACAGGAAAGTCTCTGGAATGATGCAATAGTTTCTCTGGGCAGATCTTGGCAATTATAATGAACTTCCTTAAAAGTGTAGAGATCCAAGAGTTTTAACCTGTCATTTACTTTATCTTCTGCTCATAGGATTGGTAATTTGTTTTTAATTTGGATAATTATTCTAATTATATTTTAATCATTAGCTGAATGTCGCTGACACTGGCTGGGTCAACATCGGCTGCTTATCACTGGAAGAATTTCTGCAGAAATTCTCTGAAGAAGGGTCCCAACCTGAAATGTCAATTTTCCTGCTCCTCTGATGCTCCCTGGCCTGCTTGTACTTCCAGCTCCACACTGTGTTACCTCTGACTCCAGCATTTGCAGTTCTTACTATCTCTCTCATTGCAGACATGGTTATGGACCAGACCCCCTCAAAATATTTCAAGAAGTTAACCTAGACCCTAACTTTTTCTCATTTAAAGGAAAATGTAAAGTGTCTGTTCCAGATGCAATGTGACTGGTCAAACTACTCCACATTAAGCAAAACACAATTTATTTAAACACCATAGTTAAAACATAACCAAGAAAAAGAATTTTGGAATAACTTAACTCTATTGGAAAACTTAACAGAATAACAGATACAGTAGCTATTACTAATTAACTGTTCCAATGTAGTAACATCCCATAAACAGACCCCTTGGTAAAAAGAAAATTCAGACACAGATTCTCACATGCAGTTCTCTCACCCAGGAGGGAGAAAAAAAAACACATTCAGAGTGTAGCAGCCAGGAGACATTCACTGAAGCTTCCAACTTGGTTGAGCCCCAAATAGCTTATGATGCTATGCAGAAATCCTGACCTATGACAGCTGGGCACATCTATTTGGGCTGCACCAAAAAGAACCCCCAGTCCTCCCGAGCTGTTTACTCAAGTAGTCTTCAGCAGGCAGCTCATCACTTCTTGTTCAACCTCGCTCTTAAAAGAAAACAGGGCAAAACATCCTCTTAAATCTACAGCTTCATCACAACATAAAGGGACATCGATACAAATGTATATATGGAAACAAAGAGACACACATCTCTTATTGCAAACAGAGATGCAAGCAGATATACAAATGCATACACAGAGACTTAGAACACACATATGAACACATAGAGATACATATGCAGATGTAGTTAGAGATGCACACACATTATACACACAGCCACATATAAAGGTCTATGCAATATTTATTCATAATTTAATGTCTGTTGCCACGTTAATATTATTTTCATTCCAGTTTAACTGTTGTCAACATCTTGCAAACATTCAATCTTTGTTGCAAACTCTGCATTTGTTGCAGCATCTAGCTTTTTTGTCTCAAAGTCCTGGAATGCGATAGACTGAAATTTCAACACCTGCTGCAATGATTGCAAATATCTCCCACAGCACTGGCATTCATCAGTCACAAGAGAAATCTTTTCAGTTTCCAGGAACACTGCCGGCTCTGAACAGAATGATTCAGTTAATCCCACTCCCCTATTCTCCCCACAAGTACTGCATATGTTCACATTTAAAAATAAGATTCAAACTGTTCTAGCTCCCTATCAAACAGTTCATTTCACTTCAGAATGACTTTCTTCAAAGATAACGTGTCCTCATAATGCCCCTGAATCTTTTGCAATGTTCTGTTTGTCTCCAGAAAGTGGGAATATGAGGATCATTCTTCTACACATTGGGAACAGCAGTTACAGCATTTATGTGTCTAATTATGTGATACTGTCAGTGAGTAAGAGTTGCCTGAGAGTGTGTTTAGCAGTGTTGTATTGTCTGTGAATGAGGCAAAGTGAGTGTTAGAGAGTGTTTGAGTGCGTTCTGAGAGAGAAAGTGACAGTGTGTTAGTTTTTGAGTGTGTGTGTTTGAGTGACAATTTGTCAGAGATAGCTTGTTAGTGTGTGAGCGTTCATTTTAATATGAGGAGTATGACGGGTAAGGCAGGTAAATTTAGAGCTTGGATTAGTGCACATAACTATGATGTTGTTGCTATTTCAGTGACTTGGTTGAGAGAGGGACAAGACTGGGATCTTAACATTTAGGAGTGCCAAGGGTGAGGTGCCAAAAGACAGGAGGGTGGCTAATGTTGTGCCATTATTTAAGTAAGGTTGCAAGGAAAAGCCAGGGAACTATAGACCAGTGAGCCTGAAATCAGTGGTGGGTAAGTTGTTGAAGGGAATTCTGACAGAGAGGGTCTGCATGCATTGGGAAAGGCAATGACTGATTAGGGATAGTCAATGTGGCTTTCTGTGTGGAAAATCATGTCTCACTAACTTGACTGAGTTTTTGAAGAGATGATCAAGAAGATAGGTGAAGGCAGAGCAAGAGATGTTGTCCACACAGACTCTGGCAAGGCTTTCAACAAGGTTCCCTGCGTGTGTGTGAATGTGAGAGCGAGAGAGTGTGTGTGTGCATAATAGTTTGTCTAAGAGTGAGTTTGACAGTGTGTAAGGGTAAGTGAGAGTTCATATTTGCATGTTAGTATCTGAGAGGAGGTGTTTGTACAAATGAGGGGTTCATAACTGTGAGAGGAGTGTGTAAGTGTGAGAGAATGTGTTAGTCTTTTGCAGTGAGAATTAATCACTAGGGACCAGATAATTAGCTGTAAATTTATTTAATAGAAATGCATTTTTAATTAAATCATTGCTGGAGAGTAAAACTGGCAGCTGTGTCATCGTATACTTCTCCTGCAGAATCTGGAAAATCAAAGACAGTTCAAACGTCCCCTGATGGCTACATCTGCAGGAAGTGTGTCTAACTGCAGCTCCTGTAAGACTGCATTGGTCAGTTGGAGTGGAAGGTTGGTACACTTAGGGGCATGCAAGAGGCAGAAAGTGCCATAAACAGGAGATTTATAGATGTGGTCACACTGTAAGTATAGGCAAATTGAAGGGTGCCTGCTAGAAGGGGCACTCAGGTATGCAGGAGTCCACCGTGGCTGTTGTCCACTCTAACAAATACCCTGCTTTGGATACTGTTGAGTGAGGAGAGTGCTTATCGGGGGTGGCAACAGCTGCAGCAAGAGTGCTGCCACGACGGCTGGCTGTCTTGTACAATAGGGAGGGCCAAAGTTCAGTAGGTAAGTAGTAATAGGGAACTCCACAATCAGGGGCACAGGTAGATGTTTCTGTAGCTGCAAAAGAGATTCCAGGATGGCATGCTGCCTCCCTAGTGCCAGGGAAAAGGATGTTCTGAGCAGGCACAGGACATTCTCAAAAGGCATGGTGAGTAGCTAGAGGCCAGGGTACCTATTGGCACTAACATCATAGGCAGGAACAGTGACGAGATCCTGAAAAGGGAGTTCAGGGAGTTAGGTAGTAAGCTGAAAAGCAGGACCACTATGGTTATAATTTCAGGATTACTCCCTGTGCCACATGCCAATGAGGCTATGAATAGGGAAATAATACAGTTACATGTGTACATAAAGAGCTGGCGTAGGAGGGAGACCTTCAGGTATGTGGATCTGTAGGATGTCTTCCGTGGTAGGTGGGGCCTGTCCAAGAAGGATGTGTTGCACCTGAACTGGAGGGACACCAATATCCTGGCACAGAGGTTGGCTACTGTCACTCAGGAGGGTTTAAACAAGCACAGCTTGGGGGTAGGAACCAAAGCTGTAGATCAACAAATGAAATGACTGAGGAGAAGTTACAGACGAAGGCCAGTAACACTGAGAGGAAGAACAGACAGGGAGAAGTTACTGAACACAACCGGACTGACTGTCCGTAGGACATTTGTTCTAATATGAGGACTATGACAGGTAAGGCAGATCAATTCAGAGGTTGGATTAGTGCACGTAACTATGATGTTGTAGCTATTGTAGCACGGTGAGGTGCCAAAAGACAGGAGGGTGGCTAATATTGTGTCATTATTTAAGAAAGGCTGCAAGGAAAAGCCAGGGAACTATAGACCGGTGAGCCTGACATCAGTGGTGGATAAGTTGTTGAAGGGAATTCAGAGAGAGGGTCTGCATACATTCAGAAAGGCAATGACTAACTGGGGATAGTCAACATGGCTTTCTGCATGGAAAATCGTGTCTCACTAACTTGTCTGAGTTTTTGAAGAGATGATCGAGAAGACAGATGAAGGCAGAGCAAAAGACATTGTCTGCATGGACTCTAGTAAGGCTTTGGACAAGGTTCCCCATGGTAGACTGGTCAATAACATTAGATCACACGGGATCCCGGGAGAGCTTGCCAATCAGATCTGAAATTGGATTGAAAGTAGGAGACAAAGGATGGTAATAGAAGGATATTATTCAGACTGGCAACCTGTAACTAACAGTGTGCTACAAGGAGAAGTGTTGGGTCCAGCTCCACCTTCCTCAATGGAAACGAGAGATGAGCAACAAATATTGGCCTTGGCAGAACCAGACACATCTCAGCAAAAAATAAAAATAAATAATTATTCGAAGCAAGAGCTAAATTGTACAAGACCTGTCAGTGCAAAACTAAACACACTAGCAGCTTTCCAGAGGGAAAACTTACTGTATTTTAATGATTATATCCTTCCAGGGGTAGGTTTTATCAATGCTGAATATACTTTTACATTGCCACTAATCTAACATAATGGTAACATTTTTTATTCTTTCATGGGTTATGAGCGTGACCTATTGACCACCTTTTACTGCTCGTCTGTCATTGCCCTTGAGAAGGTGGTGGTAAGCCGCTTGGTGAATGGCTTGGAGGTGAACTTGCAGGTGGTGGTGTTCCCATGTATCTGCTGTCCTTATCCTTCTAGATGGAAATAATCATGTGGAGAATTTCTGTGGTGCACCTTGTAGATAGTACCCACTGTTGCTACTGAGCGTTGGTGGTGGAGTGAGTGGATGTTTGTGACTGTGCTAATCAAGCAGCTGATTTGTCCTGGACAGTGTTAAGCCTCGAGTGTTGCTGGAGCTGCACCCATCCAGCTAAGTGGGGAGTATTCCAAGACACTCCTGACTTGTGCCCTATAGATGATGGACAGGATTTGGGGATTCAGTTGATGAGTTACTCACAGCAATTTTTCGAGCCTCTGACGTGCTTTTGTCGTCACTGTGTTTAAATGGCTAGTTGAATTGAGTTTCTTGTCAGTAGCAACTCCCAGGATGTTGATAGTGGAGGATTCAGTAATGGTAACAATCTTGAATGGCAATGGACAGTGGGGAGATAGTCTTTTATTGGTCATGGTCATAGCCTGGCATTTGTGTGGTGTGAATGTAACTTGCTACTTGTCAAGCCCAATCCTGGAACATTGAGCAGATCTTGTTGCATTTGAACAAGGGCCGCTTCAGTTTCTGAGGAGTCACAAGTGGTACTCAACATTGTGTAATCATCAGCAAGCCTCCACAATTCTGACCTTATGATGAAAGGAAGATCATTTCTAAAGTATTTGAACTCTACACAATAATAATGACCGTACAGTATGGTATCAAAATCAGAAAAATGCATTGTACTTCTCCATGCGACACGATTATCCAATGTTCAATTCAGATTAATATTCATGCAAAATAACAAACTCTGTTCGATATTAAAATGACTTACTACACTGTCTAATTGAGACACAGGCAGATAGCAGAAACACTGCAGTTCCAATTTTGGGATGAATATAGATGGGTTAGAAAATACTATTTGATTCACTGCAAAATTTCTCTCAAGAACTTGGTGCCTGATGATGCCCCTTCAAAACATTCACAGCTTAAATTCATCTTAGAATTATTGAATGGTTGAATAATTCTAAAACAGTGTCGATGTGGATCAACAGAGCTACTTTTCCCCAGGAGGCTGAAGGCTTCCTACCCTGCCGCTGCTAGCGGACTCTTACATGCCTACACGATGCTTCAAATGATCATGAAGCCTCCATAAACACAAAGTCACTCGTACCAACGTGAAACCATGGAAATATGGCAACAGTACATGGGAAATTTGTTCTCCATCTGAACTAAAAGCTCATTGTCAGCGCAAAACCCACACAAGTTGAAGATGAATCCAGAGGAGACAGGGAAAGGGAAATTTCTACAAAAGTACCTAAATTGCATTAGAGATAGTAACAAGTGTCAACACATTATGTGTTTAACACAAAACCGATTCTGTTGAATTTTATTCAGGGTGGTAGCAGCAAAAAATATGATGAATTTGTTAAAATCAGGAGAAAAGGAAACCAATGTACTGGGTTCAGTCCTGGAAGTAACTAGCAGTAAAATCCAACTCCTGAAATCACTTGTGAACTCGCTGGTGTCTCAGTAGGTTACAAGTCCGAGTGAATCTCTTCCCACATTCAGTGCAGGCAAATGGCCTCTCCCCCGTGTGAACTCTCTGGTGTGCAGTGAGATGAGACGATTGCCTGAACCCAGACCCACAGTAAGAGCACCTGAAAGGTCTCTCCTCAGTGTGAACTCGCTGATGTGCCACAAGGCGACAGGACCGAGTGAATTCCTTCCCACATATGGAACAGATGAATGGCCTCTCCCCAGTGTGAATTCGCCGGTGCTCAGTGAGATCAAATAATCGTCTGAATCCGGTCCCACAGTGAGAACACGTGAACTGTCTCTCCTCAGTGTGAACACGTTGATGAGAAGTCAGCTCTCCAGAACTTTTATAGCACTTCCCACAATCCAAACATTTAAAAGGTTTCTCATTAGTGTGAACACGTTGGTGGGACATCAGTTCCCCAGAACTTTTAAAGCAATTTCCACAATCTGAACATTTAAAAGGTTTGTCATCAGAATGAACACGTTGATGGTTCATCAAATCTCTGGAACTTTTAAAGCATTTCCCGCAGTCTGTGCATCCAAAAGGCCTCTCATCAGTGTGAACACGTCGATGGGAGATCAGATTGCTGGAAGTTTTAAAGCATTTGCCACAGTCTAGGCATTCAAAAGGTCTCTCCTCAGTGTGAACTTGTTGATGGTTCATCAGTGCCCTTGGACTTTTATAGCACTTCCCGCAGTTTGGACATTTAAAAGGCCTCTCCTCAGTGTGAATATGTTGATGGCGCATCAGATCCCCAGAACCTTTATAGCATTTTCCACAGTCCAGGCATTGAAAAGGTCTCTCATCACTGTGAACACGTAGATGGGCCATTAAATTGCTGGAGCTTTTATAGCACATCCCACAAACTGGGCATTTAAAAGGTCTCTCCCCAGTGTGAACTCGCTGGTGTTTCAGCAAGATGGACGATCGAGTGAATCCTTTCCCACACTCCGTGCAGGTGAATGGTCTCTCCCCAGTGTGACTGCGGCGATGAATTTCCAGCACAGACAAGTAACGGAATCCTTCTCCACAATCTCCACATTTCCACGGTTTCTGTCCAGTGTGAACAGTGCTTTTCCCTTCCATGTTCAAAATCTGTTGCTATTCAGGTTGTGGTAAATAGGGCACATCTGTCTGATCCTGATGTAATGATTGGTTTCAGTTTCCTTATTGCAGTTGCTTCTAACATCCTGTGAAGTTGATTTAAAACAGAATAAACAGAGTGAGAGAGAGCACACAAAATCACAAAGGCAGGCTGCGAAACACAGCTGAATGAATCTGGTCATTTGTGGGGCTGGAAAGTAGAAAAAGTGACTATGAAAGCTGCTGGATTGTCACAAATACCTAACTGGTTCATTGATAGCCTTCAGAGAAGGGAACCTGCTACTGGTCTGGACACATGGAAGACTCTATAGGTTTTGAAATTATGCTATGATCTAAATTGTTTATGTAAATGAGGAAAAGTAGAATTCCTAACAGCACTCCCTAGGGAACTCCACGATGAAGCTTCCTGCAGTCAGAAAAATATCTTTCTCCTGTCTATCAGTCAGGTTCATCTTCAAGTTGCTACTGTTCCAGTTATTCCATGAAGCTCTAACCTCCTTCTCGAGCCTATTGCACAACATTTGCTCAAATGCATTTTGGAAGTCCATCTGAAGTACATCAATAACATTAACTGTAACAACGCTCTTTGTTACCATAACAAAAATGTAAGCAAGGTAGTAAAACACATTTTGTCAAACAACAAGGCAATGGTGGCTTTTCGTAATTCAACTAAATTTGCTCAAGCGACTGTTCATTTTGTCCTGAACCATTGGTTCTGTACCCTTCACCACCAAAGTGAACTGACTGATCTGTTATTGTTCAGCTTATCTTTACTAAATTTTAGAACAAGGATGTAACATTTGAACTTCAACAGGTCTTTGACACCACCCATCATGGGTCTTAGGGGGATCGAACTGCCTCCTGAATGTCTACACTCACTTCCCTCAGTAATCCATGGATATGTGTCATCTGGTCCTGAATCCTTACTAACATTGACAAACATCCTATCTGATGCCTCTTTCTTGTCAATTTTAAACATGTGAAGTGTCTCAATGTCTTCCACTTTCACTATGGCCAGCATCGCATCAACTTTCTCAGTGAACAATCTGGATTTAATAACTCTCTGCCTCCAGGTGTAAATCAAATTTTCAATTCCTAATTGGCTTCTCTTCTCATTTACCATATTTACAATTTACATGCTGACAGACCTGAATCGATAAGCCTTCGATTTTTCCTTCCTCTTTCTGCTCATCCTCTCACTTTGCCTCTCTAATTTGCTCATTCAGTTCCCCTTGAAATTTCTAAATTTCACCTGGTTCTAGTCCAACCTCACATCTGTCACAAGCATTCTTTTCTCCTTCATCTTAATTTCTTTGTTTTGCCATGTTGGGTGCTCTGGATTTGTTTTCTCTAACTTTCTCTTTGTGCATGTTGCAATTTATGCCTGCAGGTGACACTTGGTCCTCCTAGGATCTTCTTTGTGTAGAAATGCTGACACTAACCCACCTTCTAAATTATTCTACTTGCTAACATTAATTGGTGAACTAATAAGTCTGGCAAAAGAGGTGTTACTTAAATAACAAGGTAATTTGTTTCATAACAGTAAAATTAACAGGTTAAACATTCATGCTTGGCGACAAGCATTGTTAACTCTTGAGACATACTAAATTGGTAAGGGCTACATGGCTTTGTAACATTGAATGAACAACTGAACAAGAAATGAGAAACCGACTGGCACTGCTCAGAGACAGTCATCTATAACTCAGTGCATGGGACTATACCATAGGTTCTGAATTAACCCTTGAATGTCAACTGTCTTATGCAACAGTAGAAAAATTTGTACCATGACTGTGTCAGCAGTATTTCTTCTTTAAAGGCAGATCATTGTTTAGATTTGATTCCAATTTATCCAGATCAGATCCATTCATACCCTATTGACATTGGGTTTTTACGAATTAATTACCCTTACTCGCAGCTGAAATGTTTGCCCACAGTTAGAAGTGTCAAATCTTTTCCTACCAAATTGAACGCTTGATGATAATCAGATCCTGATGAATTAAGTGACCCTATCAGATCTGGATTTTCCATTTAATTTGAGTTCCCCAGCTGTTGATCCCCCGTTTTCTAATAGTCTGTAAAATGAAATTTAAAAGAACTTCAGGGTGAGTTCAGGGTAGAAGTTCAGATGAGAGAAACAGTATTCCTGAATAAAAACAAACACTGTAAATGCCAGAAAACTGAAATGAAAACAGAAAACGCTGCAGAAACTTCGCATGTCCAGCAGCATCTGTCAAGGAATCATAGAATTAACATTTCCAGTTCAGTTACTCTTGTCATCTGCTCTTGATGCTACCAGCATTGAGATTTCGTGCATTCTCTGTCTGTCTACAATTTCATTTGGTGTGAGTTTGCTGCGTGTAGATGCTCCCCTCCACACATCTGTAAACTCCATCCCCGTCAGTTCAAGAGAGACAGTCACAACATTTTCTCTCCTGGTCCAGTATGACCGCGCATGCGCCCTGATGCCCCTTTCCCCCTACAAAGATGGCGGCCGTTACCTGAGCCTTTCGCCGAGGGACGCGGCCTCGCAGCTTCCAGCCCACTCGCCATCAATGCGGAACCGGGAGTCCCTTATTTAGAGTTTTATGTCTACAGTTTATGTTTATGAAGCCTCCCTACCCACACAGACCCCTCCAGGACCCTCCTAAATCTGTTTTTTCCTCACCATTTACGGAGCCGACATGATCACACGCCTGCAGGAGAGATCTCACACAGCGCATGTGTCAGCCCAGCTATGTACAGCGCATGCTCCAATCACAGTGACCACTGCGCGTGCGCGCATCTCGACAGTGAGAGCACAATGTCCTCAGGGCAGTCAGAACTGCAGATGCTGGAAAAACACGGCAGGCCAGGCAGTATCAGAGGAGCAAGAAATTTGAGGTTTTGGGTCGAGACTCTTCTTCAGAAATGTAGAGGGGAAGGGAGCTCAGAAATAAACGGAGAGGAGGGATGGGGCTAGGAGGTAACAAGGTGTAGAGCTGGATGAACACAGCAGGCCAAGTAGCATCAGAGGAGCAGGAAAACTGATGTTTCGGGCCTAGACCCTTCTTCAGAAGGTTGGGATTGGTCAGTGAGGTGGGAGGGGCAGATCAGTGGGAGAGAAGATGGACAGGTTGTGTCAGGTCAAGGAGGCGAGGATGAGAGAGAGGGTTGGTCATGGGATGAACCAGACGGGTGGGGAGATTTTGAAACTGGTAAAATCCACATTTAGGCCATTGGGCTGTAGGCTCCCAAGATGGAATATGAGGTGCTGCTCCTCCAGTTTGCGGGTGGTGTCATTGTGACTCTGGAGGATGTCCAGGATGGACATGTCACCCAGGGAGTGGGAGGGGGAGTTGAAATGGTTCGCGATCGTAAGATGTTGTCCTTTGTCTTGAACAGAGCTCAGGTGCTCTACAAAATGGTCTCCAAGCATCCACTTGGTCTCACCAATGTAGAGAAGTTAGGGTTAGGGTTAGTGAAGGTGAATCCCTCTCTAATGTGGAAGGTCTGTTTGGTACCTTGAATGGAGGGGAATGGAGGGGAATG